AGTCACCTCTTGTGCTGCTGGGTGGCAGTCTGTATTCATTCTGCATCTCTCCTCTCCCCTCCCCAGAGCAGGCACTTCTGGGGACTTCAAAAGGACCGCCACACAGAGACAGCCACCCATGTGTCAGGCCGGGCTCAGTGGCCTAGCTGAAAGGCATATCTCACACATATCTGGAATCGAATGCATCCAACCCACAACCCCTGAGGATGTGACTATGCATAACCAACTAAAGCAACAATCCCCCAACAACTGAGCGTTTAAATGTTCTAGATTTAACTGCTGGTAAACTGCTGGTATCCAACAGCAGACCCCAGGGTTAGCTGTCCTCGCCAAAACCTGCCAGGATTTGAGGAGGGGGGAGGAGGGAACGAGACAGAAAGAGGTAAGGCTACCCATCAGGAGAAGTCTGGCTGAGTGTCTAAATTATCAGTACCTGCCCCGTTTGTCACCGGGGTCCCATCACACATTTGATTATATGACGTGTTTCGCCATCTATCGTCAGCATCGGTGAAACCTTGCACAGCAAGGTGAGCTGTCCGTGAGGTGCCCCAGAATGGCAACCTTGAAGACAGTCGCTAGTGGAGGGCTGCCCTTCTCTGCTCTTGGTCTACACGGATCCAAACAGTCTTCTGGTGCAGACGTAAGAGAAACACCTCTCTAACTTGCAGATGACGTCAAGCCTCACATTTCATGTTAGAGACTATATGGGCCAATTCTAGAAGATTCAACCAAGGATAATGTAAAGTTCTACTTGGGCTAAAAAATAAATTAAGAGACCAACAAAGAAGTCAGTACCCAAGTGCAAAAGGAGGGAGATGTGGCTTTGCACAAGCCCCACACAAAGAGGCAGGGAGGCAAGCCGACTACAAGTGCAGTGTGGGGGCTGATGGATGGGTTGGCCCCAAACCTCAGCCTAGCATCCAGGACAAGGCGGGTCATTGTACTCATCTGAGGGCGGGACGCCAAACACTGCCGTCCGTGACCAGAAGGGCAGCACGGGGTCAAGGTTGCCGAACACCTCAGCACACACATTCAGGAACCTCGGAAAGAAGGGAGAGCTTGAACACAGCGGTGACAGCCACGCAGCTGGAAGGGCTCATCGTGGAGGAAGCCGGGGCTCGTGGTATTATTCAGCTGTTTCTGGGACAGAATAATTGCTCAGTGAATGTTACCGAATGTGCTGAATTAGGACCATAATTATGACCACGGATATGACCGAATGGCTTCAGGGGGGCAGAGGGAGGTCCAAAATGTGGAAATACCAGAAAACAAGCTTTGGATTATTTATGGAATATCTTCTCAGTGGGTGCTTTGCTGAGATGGGCTGGGCTGTCTCCGGAAGGAAAGAAGGGGTTTTAGTATAGATTAAATGGCCCCTCTTGGGGCTCACATAGAGGGACTGCTGTGGTGAGCAGCGCCCTTTGACTCTGGAGAACTCCTGATGAACAGTGAAGAGTGTCTTGTTAATGATGGTGGCTCCAAGTTGGGTTGTTGAGCACTCGCCATGGTGGGTCACCTCACCACCCTCCACAGACCATCAGAGACGCTTGGTGACTCACTTGTGGTCACACAGCTAGCCAGGGGGAGCCAGGGACCTACCCTAGCTGCCCTATCCATGCAGAGAAAACAAAGCAACACAAAAATGCACAAACTGACTCCTTTCAGATCTTCACTCAAATGGAGGGACCCTTCGAGGGACCCTCAGAGACCCCCCCCCATACATGAGGGGCCCGTGGCCTACACCACCTGCACCTGCCTCCAGCAGCCCTTCCAGCAACCACATTTGCTCATCCCCTGCCTCCATAGGTCTCAATACACACTCGATGAGTACTGAAGGCCTGGACAATCGAATCAGTCTCCCGAGCTCTAAGATAATACAGCTCATGCTGCCCGGGGCCTGGAGAAAATGAAACATGGAGGCAGGATGGTGGGATTCCCCGGATGCCCAAGTTGGAGTGGATGGACCACTGCTGGGTGGAGATCCGGGGCCCAGAGAAAGGTGTCTCTGGTCAGGAACAAACAGCAAAAAGGCAGCAATTCCAACAACAACAGCTCCTGCTGTAACACCTACTGTGGGCAGCACTTTGCTAAGACTTCTTCAGGCACTGACCCCTTTCATCCTCACAACAGCCCTCTGTGGCAGTGACTCCTATATTCCCATTTCACAGGTTAAGAGACTGAGACCGGCAGGCATGGGCGCTGGGCAGCGAGAAGCTGGCGGAGCTGAGCTGGCTTCATCCGGGTGGCTCGTGGCCGCCCCACTGACAGATGGTCCGTGGAATAGAACACACAGCACCGTGCCTGGGGGAGTGGCCGGAAGCAAAGTCCTGGAATTTGGGGGTGACTTCAGGGGCACCGTGGGGGAGCATCATTTTGCTGTGCTGTGATGCTGCAGTGGAACAGGGCAGAGGGGAGGAGGGGCACAGGCCTGGGGCCTGAGTGTGCGATCTTCCGCCCATTCACCGTATCTCCCGGCTGCTTGTGTGTTTCCTGTCTGTCGTGGCTGAATATGGGCTAATCCTTCTCCCTTAAAAAGCCGAAAGAGTCAAAAGACACGTCTTGGGGACTTGTAGAATGACAGTGACAGGAACCAAGCCTGAGGCTTCCCTTAGGCCACTCTGGTCAGTCCCTGGAACAGCTCCACGCAGACAAAAATGAGGATGCGTCTCCCCAGACAGGAATGTGCAGGGTCAAGTACCACAAGCCGGGACCGTCTGTCGTGTGGGCCTCAGGTGAGGCCTGAAGAAACCATCAACACAACCGGCAGAAATGCTCTAGAAAACAGGTGCCCAACCTGGGCTACCTGCTGGGCAGGTCATTCTTCTGGGCCACTGGAGACCTTGAAGGCCCAACTCAGGTTTTATGCCCAGAAGGGGGGGACAAGGCTTGCCCTAGTGGCACTGGTGGCCCCCTACCTGCCTGGCCCATAGTTCCTGGCCCAGAAGCTCTCCACCTCGCTGAGGACTGACTGAGAGCCAGACTCAACTTCACCCCTTCACACCAGTACCACATCCGTCCTCAGGGCGATGGCCCATCTTTCAAAGCTGCCCAGATCAGGAAGACATGCTCTAGATTTGGGCTTTCCAATATGGCAGCCACTAGCCACATGTGGCCATTTGGGCATTGAAATCTGAAACTAATCAAAATAAAATAGAAGTTTAGGTCCAACTCCTCAGTCGCATTGGCCCCTTTGCAAGTGCTCAGTAGCCGCACGTGGTGGCTTGTGGCTACATGTGAACACTGATCTAGAACATTCCATCATCACAGGAAGTTCGGTTGGACAGTGCTGTTCCCTGGTTCTTCGAGGGTGCCCTGCCATCACTGTTCTTTCTTACCAACCCCCACCCCCACACCAAGATGGGGGGCTCCAAGTGACGAGAGGCCCAGCAGCAGTTAGCGGACAGGATGAGGCATGTGAAGGGGGCCCCCCACCGGATACTCCTCAGCTGCACGGGCTGGGAGCTCACAGCATGGTCAGGAAAGCAGGGGCACGTTTCCAGAAAGGGCCCAAATTCAGGGACAGACAACCGGGTCGTGCGGGCCCCTCCAGCTGGAGCGGGGGCCCCCAACCAACTCCGCAGCCCCACAGGTGCTGGGTCTTAGGTGTCGAGTGGGAATCGTGGTGACCACCTTGGATCGCAGATTGCCCCGCTCTGGTTTTCTGGCATCTCACAGCCCTGAGGCTGTGTGAGGATGCCAGGAGCACTGGGACAGAGATCCCCAAGAATGACCAAATCTGAATGTGCCCTCAGCCAGGTTGAGGGGGTAACGTAGCAGCAGCATGAGTGCAAAGCAGATCTGATATAATGTAGAGACTTCAGGAATAAGGGAGTGTTAGATTTTTGATATCTTAGCCCTGTAGACCGAAATTCCTCCCACTGAACAGGACAACTGGACACGCAGAGCAATTATAGGGGAGATGAGGGACGATGGGAAAGGTGGCACAGGAAGGGCATATCTATCTGCTCTGAAAATCCTCAGTATCATTTCCAGAGGTGACAGGAGTGTCGTGGCCGCTGAGGCTCATCAAGACCCCAGGAGAAGCCGGGCGCACCTGCCGTCTGCAGAGAGGCTGCTCGGGGCCACCCGCCATCCAGAGGCGCCCCTCCAGGGACCAGCCCCCATGCTCCCTTCTCTGGAGGCCCTCCTGTGGTTGCCCTCTGCCCTCCCGGGGCCACCCTCTGCATAATACTCTTGCAAATCAAATGTTTCCGTTTATTTCAAAATCAGAAGAAAAACCTGAACATAGTGAATATGAATACATAACAATGAATCCCGTTTGCATGACATTTATCTTTACACCAAGACGGTCATCGTATGTTCTCACATGAGGAAGGGGCCACTAAAGTCCATAACCCGGGTATGCAGCCCTGAGTCCTTCCTCGTTCCTTATTCCAGAGGCATAAAAGACAGCTCCATACAAAGGGAACTGGCACCCCACAGACCCTCCTGGTTGACCTACAGATTGAATTTCAGCAGTGATTTCTCATACCTCCCTCTGCATCATGCAGGTAAACCCGCTCCAAAAATAGTTACATCTCCAGGCAAAGCCCTGTGACTATCTGCCTGCTCTGCCGTCGTTAGCACTGGCTTGCTTTCTCCAAGTTGTCTTCTGACTTCAAGGAGGCTGCTGGAGGTCCAGCCATCACCTCTGCATTCCACACAGGAGGACGGAGGGAAGTGGGGGACAAAACGTTAAGCCTCTTAGATGCCAGGCTCCTTTAAGGAGCTTTCCTAAAATCCCCACTACCCACCGCAGCCTGTGTGTTTCATTGGCCAGTCCATCTGTCTGTCTGTAAAGGAGCTGGAGGAGGAAAATGGAGGCACGGAGTAAGGCTTTGGGACGGTGCCAAGCAAAACACAGGAGGGGACTTGGTCCGAGGTAGAATTAAGCAGACGCCCCTTACCGAAAAATCCATCTTGTTCTCAGGCATCCTCGTGGCCCTGGTTGTGCCACCAGATAACGGGGTCGTGTGGAGCAGAGGGTGTGACAGGCTCACCTTCTCTGGCCTTCGCGCAGGTTGAATTATGTGAATACACTGCATGTCCTTGGAACCGAAACTTTTCTACTTGGGCCATTCTGCTCTTTGCTGGACCGCTGCCGAAGCTTTGAAGCCCAGTCTGGATGAAGCCCCGTCTGTATCCTCAGGGCTGGAAGGGCGTGGTCCTGACTCAGGAGCTGACTCTGGAAAAGCTGGCTGCGAGGGAGGGGGTGAGTCATGAACCCAGACATAGCTGAGATTCCTGGTATGTGCTCTGTGGGGGAAAGAACGCTCAGCTTGGACTGAGTTCCCTCCAGGCAGGAGGTGCTGCGAGACGTGAGGGCGCCCCACCTCCCTGCGCCCTTCCGCTGGGGCACTGACAGCAGCCTGACATTATTGGGCTCATGTCTATTTCACCAGAAAGACAAATGGGAAAGACCTGGTCTGCCCGCTTCACCTCCGCATCCCTGGGTCAAAGAACCGGACTGCTGGGTTCAAAGCCAAGCTCCATTCCTTACTAACGGTGTAATTTTGCCATCACCCCTAACCCTTCCGTGTCCCAGATTCCTCGTCTGCTTGATGGGGACAATAATGGTGATCTGCCACACACAGGTCTGTGCGAACTTAAGTAAGGTCATATTTGCAAAGCATCCAGAACAGCACCCGGCACCGAGCAAGCACTCAGGAAACAAAGCAGTGTTCGAATTATCTTTATTTTATTGGGGAAATGGTAAATATTTGCTAATGGAGGCATGAAAAGAAATCTTATGTGACTCTAATACAAAAAGCAAGCGGTTTCTGTCCCGTTGAATGCCCCGCTCCAAGTTGTTCGGGGCTCTTGAAGCCAGTCTCCTCCTGATAGTTCTGATGAGCCCAATGTGGTTATTTCACAAAGTAGACCCTGGTCCCAGAGGAGCTAAATGCCGTAAAGCATAAATCTAGCTGTCTTCTGGCGCACTCTGTTGTGGAGACTGCTTGTTGTCTGTCCTATATCCATTCTCCTTTACTTCCTGTGTTGTCAACAACCCTTACGTTGTCAGGGGCAGCAATGTTCCCAATTAAAAAGCTATATTCCTCTGGCTGCCGTACAGAAACAGTGGCCAATAAAAGATGTAGGCAGAAAGGGTTAGTTGGGGGTTCTGGGAAAGCTCTTTAAAGGAGCCTGATGTCTAGAATGCTTAGCTTTTTATCCCTCCACTTTCCTCTTTCCTCCTATGTGGAACGCAGAGGCGATGGCTGGAGCTCCAGCAGCCATATTAAAACCAAGTGATAACTTTGAGGAAGGAAGTCGATGCTAATGATAACAGAAAAGAGAGATGAATGAACTAGCTGCCCGTTGACCATCACCCGGAGCAGCCTGCTTCCAATCTTTTTCTGTCTGAGAGAAAGCAAGCTTGACACTTGCTGGAGCCACTGTTATTTTGTAAAGATTTCCTTTATATCTGTCTACATTGGTAGAAACCCATGCATCCCTCTCACACTCTGAAAGATTTGTCCAGGGAGAACAGCTAAAGTGATACATTTCTGCCATTGCTAAAAATTCCAATATTATAAGTATGATAAATTTTTGAAAGGACAGCATGGAGGGAAAGGCTAAAAGCCTCTGGGGCAGAAGCCCTCAGTTGCAGGGTAATCAATCCTAAATGCAAAAGTTAAGCAGGAGAACCGCAATGGATAAGATTTGCCATCACCATTAGCTTTTTTGATTATAAAAAATGCAATAAAACCAGATGGTTATTGTTTTTCTTCTTCTTCTTCTTCTTCTTTTTTTTAATCAGAGGAGTCATCAAGCCTCCCAACCTCTCCTCCTTCCGGTGGACCCAACTTCCTTCTGATCCTCTGTTGGCTTCTCCCTGCCTGAGCTCTGTGGTCTAACCAGAACCCTCTTGAAGTTGTGAGGAACCCAAGCTCTGCCCCAAAGCACTGGGCCCGGCACACGACTCACACGACTCCCCTGCCACCACGCTGTGAACAAAAAGGGGCTTCTGGATTTTGGCACAGGTAACCGCTGTGGGAGAAAACCACCCACAAAGTGGTACCGTTTCTAACTGAGACAGCCATGCTCAGCAGCCAAAGCCTAAACTCTCAGAAAAGAGATGTCTAAAGCACCCGATGCCTGACTTTGCAATACCAGAGAGGGCTGATTGAGCAAGGCGACCCATGTGGTCCCTTCTCTCGGACCCTGACGAATGAGAGTAAAGATTTGGCTTCTGGGGCACCGCGTGATCTTGGATATCTTCAGAAATGGCAAGGAAAGGCCATATTATGCTCACCCTGGTTTTAGTTTTAAGTGTACCTTACTTAATGTTTTCAATATGAGTCACCTCCATATACTGCGATGATTTTCAAATCACCAGAGGTTGCCTGCAGCTCATTTTAGACAGGAAGCATGAGGACAGCATCCAGCTGCTTCCACCCTGGAAGCAGGTCTGAGGCCAGTGGTCCTGGATTTTCTGGCCTGCGGCCCCAGTCTGCTGGATTACAGACAGCGCCCTCTTGGCCCCCTGCGTCTCCTGACTCTCCTCTCCTGATGGAGGCGAAGACCCCCCCCCCC